TGTGTCTGGAGTATCCTTGGATGATCCAAGAATGTTCCTGAAGGTCTTCTGGGCAACCAAAAGGGGCTTCAGGGGGAGAAACATCCAGCGGTGGGATGACGGGGAAGGGCTGGCGTATGAAGTCAGCCTTCTTCTTCAGCCAGATGGAGCAGGATGGTGTGAGCGGGAGTCTCAGGGATGGTGCATCACAGCTCCAGCACTCTTTGCTGTGCAGGAGGCTATGCCAGCACCTGGGGCTGTGAGGGCCTTTATGCCATGACTACATTGCAGTATAGTGCTCTGGGCAAAGAGACTTGTCTGTCTGAGGGGAAACACACCTTGCGACAAGGATGGAGATCCTGGACTCCTGCTTTTTCAGGCTAGAGAATAGATCACGTCCTCCCAGTCCTCTTCTCTGCCAAACTGATAACTCCCCAGTTTACAGTGAGATAGCTTTGGCAGGTGGGACAGGACTTTTCCACAGAGCTGTCCCCATCCTCTCCGGCAGAAGCGAAGTCTGAACACTTTTTATCTCCAGAGAACGACATAACTACAGAAAAGAAAGTACTTTGTCCCCTTTCTGTGGCATCTATGCAAGGTGGTTTTAGCAGGGTTGCTCCACAAACCAACTCTGCTCCACTAACTAGGGAAACACCTCATTTGCAAATTTGACTGCAGTTTAGGTGCCTCACAGAGACTCACGTGCACAGCCCTGGCCAGGCTCAGGAAGTCTCACCCAAGCCCTGAAACAGAAACGCGATGGAGAAGGAAACTCTCTGCGAGCCGCGTGGCTCCGCAGAAGCCAAACCAAGCTTCTCGCAGGTCCAGGTTTCAAGCTCAAACTCCCAAAGTGCCAGTTCAGCGCCGAAGCCTTGCAGACCTAGTAATTCCAGTTTTAATTGCTGCAGACATCTCTGCTAACCCCATCCCTCGACTCGTGAAGGGAGCTGCCATAGTCTTAATTACCTAATTTTAAGACTAGCCATTCCTCCCCAGCATGCAAACAAACCTTGAAATATTTACTCTAGCACCAGTTCCCTTTATGATGCAGCTGCTTTCTTATCTCCTGTTCCTTTAAACATGTTTTTGTGCCTGTGTCCACCTTTCCCCGGCACAGACCACATTCCTTTTTTTTTCTTGCAGAGAGACATTTTTTTGCCCTGCACTCACAGTATGAAGCCAATGGTTCAGCGAAGCGCTCCAACAACCCCCAAACTTGCAAGTAGAGGCTGGAGCTTTCAGTGCAGTGTTTTGCTTGTGTGTTGGTCTAGAACAGAAAGCCCTGCTGTCAGAGTTGCTGTGTTGAGCTTTGCAGTCTGCTATCCCACACCATAGCCTCGGGAAGGAGGTGGGAGACACGGGCTTAGACCAGCAAGCTTTCAGAAGGGCTTCCTTACCTGGCACATCTTTCACCACTGCAAACTGGTCCCCAATCCCTCTGACCACCTCTTTGCTTTGCAGCATCCTGTAATTACAATCCTGTAATGGCCCCACCCAGCCATTTCAGTAGTATTGGGATGACATCAGGTCCCGTGGTGAGTTGTGTCCCATGTGAGTCTTATGTCCTCTCTCTTCCTTCCTAGCAGCAGACTGGGCCTCTCCAGGAAACCGTGGAACTGATCATGTTAAATTTGTGTGTGGGAGAACAACAGAAAGCCGTAGGCCTTTGTGCACTTTGCTGAGGGATTAGGGAGCGTACAAGAAACCAGAGGAACAGGAGAGCTGAAGGAACGTGCCATGCCTTCCTGATACCTAGAAATTAAATCTCAGGTGGTGCACCCCAGAGTGGAGATAAATGCTCTGAGATTGCTCGTATGTAGGCTACAAAAAGCCAGACTGACTCTTAGGGGCACAACATGAACCCGGTCTGTATGACATAGGGGTCTTTGGAGTGTATCTGAATTACAGCTGCTCAGGCTCCCGCAAAGCTGAAACTTCCCAGTTTTTTAATATTTGATTTGAAAACCAGAGAATGAAACAGTCCCAGCAGCCCATTCCAGTGGAAGATATTAGACCACAGAAACACACTGCTCACAGTCAGCTCCTGCTAGAATAACCGGCAACGACAAAATAAAATGAGCCATAGGAGAGACAAGGGAAGTGGGGTTTTGCAGGCATGGATTTGTTTTCCAAGTAGAGGACTCTGAATGCACTCTGACAAGATAAGAGCTGGAATTTCTTCTGACAGATGCATTTGCCAGGAAATGCTGATTCTGCAGAATTAAACCCATCTGTGGCATACAGAGTTTGTCAAGCCTGCTTGTTTCTTGCTGGCTTGTCAGCCGTCTCCTCCATTCCCAGGCTTTCTTGACAGTCAACTCCACAGGGTCCCTCTGCCAGTGCCCTCCCTGCAGCTCATTTCCTAGAGGATTTAACCGTTTCTGTGTGACCTACTGAATATGGGCCACTCCTGCAAACCTTTCTGGTGGACTGCCCTGTGCTCTGAAGACCCATCCTGCCAAGAAGCCCAGGCTGTCCCGCGACACCCCAGCTGCTGGGTCCTTGTACCTTGAAGCTTCCCAACACGTTTTTAATCCCATTTAGGCAAAGAGCTCAGGAATTTGCTTCTCTTTGTGCTCGAGTCGTGCATGGGGGTTGTGCACATAGAGAGGTTATACATGAAAATATACGGCGGCTGTTCAGCCTGGAGAAGAGAAGTCTCTGGGGTGACCTTTTTGCAGCCTGCCTTTACCTGAAGGGGCCTACAGGAAGGATGGAGAGGGACTTTTCACAAGGGTGTGTAGTGATAGGACAAGGGGGAATGGCTGTAAACTAAAAGAGGGCAGGTTTAGATGAGATATTAGGAAGAAATTGTTCCCCATGAGGGTGGTGAGGCACTGCCATAGGTTGCCCAGAGAAGCTGTGGCTGCCCCCTCCCTGGCAATGTTCAAGGCCAGGCTGGATGGAGCTCTGAGCAATCTGGTCTAGTGGAAGATGTCCCTGCTCATGGCAGGGGGGTTGGAACCAGACGATCTTTAAGGTCCCTTCCAACCCTTACCATGCTATGATTCTATGAAAAGGGGGTGTCATGCATGCAGGGGGCTTGTGCATTCAGGAGGGAGTCTTGCACGCAGGAGATCCATGCATGAAGGGAGTCCCTCACGCAGAGGTTCACACATGCAGGGCATGCGTGCATACATGGTGGTTATGAGTGTATGGGGGGTGTGTGTGTGCGTGCTCAGGGGATCTGTGAATGAAGATGCACGGAGGAGGGGAAGAAGGCATGAACGCAGCAAGTCCTCGTGCACTCCCTCTTGAAAGGAGTCGTGGATGTAGGGGGTTGCGCTTGAAAAGGGCTGTGCACTGTGGAGTCCGGCATGCAGGGAGCCCTCCCACTGCCGTCTCTTCCCTCAGGGAAAGAAAGGGGACCCGAAACGGGGATGGAAAAAGCCTGGAGAGAGCCAGCTCT